ACAATATATATTATATTGTATACCTCCTCAATAGGAGGATCTTCTACATCTTAGTTCTCCAGCTCTTATATTATACCTTCTATGGAGAAATCTTTACCAGCTTACCACTTTCAGCATCTTTTTCTTCTTTCAGTATTCCCAGCAGTTGGAGAAATACTGTTATCCTTCCTTGGGCTCTGAGAAACTGAGAAACAGAGTTAAATGACTTGCTCTTGGCTGTACAGGGACTCTGTGACAAATTAGGATGTGATACTGTAAAATAATACTGTAGAGGAAGACACTTCCCTCTGAAGCTTAACTCCCAGTTTAAACTGACATATCCTACAAACAGGCACCATGTTACAAAACTGATACTCATTAAATGATAGATTGAAAGTCAGTCTCAAAGTACCAGAGCAGCACATTCTCCTTGAGCCTTCCCTGCTAATAAATTGTGAATCACGTATATCCCATCAATAATCTGTTGTGAAAAACAAAACTTTTCCTTGTTAGATCTGGCACTGCCATTACACAAATGGTGTATTGTCCTTCACATTTTATTTTGCAGATAAACAAAACTACTTTAATTACCTTGATCTGACATGCCATCTCAGGAACAGAGGGTAGAGTACTGCAAGGTATAAAACATTTGCAATGCAGAGAAGGTTGATTGTTGGCATTACATGAAATGCCAATTACATAGAGTATGAAAAATACTTCCCTGTTCTTAATAGAATCTTTCTGGAAGAAACAATTGTAAAAATTAATTTCAGATTTTACTGCTTAAGTCAAAATATTAAGTGTTGTACTAAACTATATTTTGGAAAACATGAAGCTTTTGCCACAAACAAGAAATAGTTTTTATTATTCAGGGTGTCATGAATGTGTTTTAATTTTTTATATTTCATAATGAGGGTGTCAAGAACGTGTTTTAATTTTTTATATTTCATAATGCAAAGTTAATCCTCATTAAATCTTAAATAAGCAGGAGGTTAGCAGAGTCAAGGAGCCCTAGAAGTCAAATCTTTTCGCAAAGACCACTTTTCATTTTCTGATTGTTTAGGGTAAAATAGCCATTACAATCAATATGACAATCAAACAGAAGGACTGAATAGCAAAGAAGAACGTGTTTTAATTTTTTATATTTCATAATGCAAAGTTAATCCTCATTAAATCTTAAATAAGCAGGAGGTTAGCAGAGTCAAGGAGCCCTAGAAGTCAAATCTTTTCGCAAAGACCACTTTTCATTTTCTGATTGTTTAGGGTAAAATAGCCATTACAATCAATATGACAATCAAACAGAAGGACTGAATAGCAAAGAAATAGATGGAAAAGTATTTGAGACATTAAAGGAGATTAAAAGATGGCACCAAAAGCCAAGGAGGGTATGAAAGAAAAGCAATATTCAGGCAAGAAGAAATCAGAGCAGTAGAAAAATTATCATTTTTGACACTTCAGTCAGGCAACACAGAACAACTGTAGTGCCTAACAGAACAAACCTTGCACCTGCAGAAAGAAAATAAAAGAAATCATAGCAACACATCATCTTCCTGATGAAAAGAAGTAGATGTGGATGTCCTTGAGAATGTAAATTGAGCTATCTGTTAAGATCACAGGCCAGAAACAGTATGAACAAAAGGTGTCCAACGGCACCAAACACCTTGTCTGAGTTAGCACTGTATACCTAACACACCACATATATTTTCCCATATACT